TAGTTTCCCAAGCAAGAGTACGAAATCCTTAATCCCTTAGAGCTGGAAAATTGCCAATCCAGCTCTGCTCCTAATCAAATAGTTTAGTGACATAACACATATCTATAAGTTCCAAAAAAGAAAAACTAATTGTAATACAAAAGGCTATATGCACGGCAAACCACTAAAAGATTATTAATTCTTTGATAGAGTTAATTATATTGAAATATTTTAATATATTTTTGTCAGATTTTTTACGAAATTAATTTTTTTATATTTATGACAAATTTTCAACAAAAATAATTTTCTGCAAATCTTAAAAAAAAAAACAAAAGAGATGCCAAAAATTTGCATTCTCAACTTTTTATTATTAATTATACTCTTGGATGAAGATAGGGCAAGGTTCTGATTTCAATTTGATTTGGAATATAGATTATAAACTAATCAATTTACCAAATCTAATACCTCTAATTTCAATACTATTTTAAGTAGGATTTCTATATATAGATATGAACATTTAGAAGAAAAGTTTGGCCGAAAGTGATGACGTTTAACATAAGCATCCATTCACATTATCAGAATGGCATACGTCGCCATGCAATTTGGGTATTGTTTACTGTCCTAGATAAGTGGAGGAAATAGTTTATGGTTTAATTGCTTTTTTTCAAATGCCGATGACAATAAGGACCACAGAGCTGCAATTTGCTTAGAAAAATTATGCTACAGTAAGAACAAAACCGAAAGAAACACGAATACAATAAAGTCGATGTTAAAATATTAAAAATTAATCATTATCGATCATTTAAATTTGGGTCGGAAATAATTTATTTTTTCCGTCGTGCATAACATTACTATATATAAGTGTCACATTAAATAAATATTAAAAAAATGTTCAAATGGAGGTAAATGATTAATGAGACTATATCATGGTTTGCCAGTATGTGATGTGATCACTATATATTATTTGCTATAGTTTTTATTAAGATCAAATGAAATAGTAATTAACGAATCTGTTAAAATTATAGTACTTAGATAATTTAATTTCTCCCTCTTAGTTAGACAGCTAAATAGTCTCTTCTTTTTTTTTCCCTCTTACTTTGACAAAAGTACTTCTGTCCCCTAATATTTATTTTCCTCTCAAGGCTAGCTAGCTAGGCATGGAATAAAGGTAAATCATTCCTCTTACCACCTCTATATTCTCATGCTTTTGTCAATAAATTAGTATTAAAAAAAATAATACTTTGAATCATCATTTTCCAAAGTCTTTGTCATCAAAATGACAAATCAAATTCAAAAGGAAAATCAAGGCTAAAAAGCTTTGGTCCCAAAGTAAGAGTATTAATATCATTTGTAAGAAAAGATGGCAAGTAGAGTTTCAAAGCTTTTCTTTTTTTACTCCGAAAAGTCCAGCAACAACTTGGCCCTTTGTTTGTAGTCCACATCCTTTCGTGCAAACTGCAAAGATCTTTCCATAACCTTTATCTTTTTCTTCAAGCTTAACCCTTAAATTTTTTCTGATGTCTTTCCTCCCTTTACGTTATTTCCCATGGTGACCACAACCCAACAATGAAAATCTATCAACAAAGATAGAAGGATAAGAATGAAATGACATGGACATGGAAGAGGTGATTAAGAAAAGCAACAGCTTGCTAGCAATTCCATAGCTTGAAAAGCACATTGATTTATCTACTCATCAGCATCCCACTATTTCAAAGTTTCCCTATCAGTCGACAGAAAGTATATATCTCTTTACAGCCTTCACCAGGAAGCAGCAACAACGTTCAGAAATAAAAGAAAAACTATATCTACTATGCACTTTGTGGCTTTACCCCTAATGTCTCATCACCTGACAATTCCATGTTTAATCAACTTGCAAAGATAGAATGTTTGTGAAGTTCATGATCTTAATTAGCTATGAAAAGAAAAAGGAAAGGAACCCAAGAACGTGAAGAGCTAACTTTAAGTTGTTGTACATATATTAATTTATCTATGATATAAATTTGCAATATATTTGTGTTGATATAATTATTTCAATATTTGAATATATGATTATGTCGAATTTTATTATGTAATTAAAAATGTGTAAATGAAAAAATCTTTTTTGATTATATATCTTAAAGTTTATTAAATTTTAACGTGACAAAAAATAATTAATTAGGATATATGAATAATAACATTTAGTATAATTTCATCAAAAAATTAAATTACTTGAAATGGAAAAAGCAAAAAAAATTCCCTACCCTTAAAATCTTGATGTATTGATTGATATTTGATGTGTCAATGAACATTGTACTCAAAGAGAATCAAATGTGGCTATAAAAGGGTTGGCAAAACCATGCATATTCTATTAAAACAGTTGAATTTTGGTGAAAAAATTTGGGTTCAGAAATTATGGAAAGGGTTCAAGAGTAGTTGGCTTCACGAAGAGGGTACAGCCAACAACTGTACATCACTCAGAAACAAGAGCCCTGTTGAATCCCGAAAGCGCCGAGATGTCAGCATCAAACCTTAATAGCATATTTGGTTGGCCATCCCCTTTTTATTCTTAAGAAATTTTTGTTCCTTTATTTAGATGTGAAATAATTCAAAACATAGTTATTCAAAATTCTCTAAAACTAAAAAATAATTAATATCATCCTTTTCATGATATTAGCTATTTCATGATTGACACATAAACTTAAAAAATCATAAAGACTAAAATACCCTCTACAAGTTTAAAAATTACAACTCTATTTGTATGAAATATTATTTTTTTTTCTCTCTACTCCTTCTCTTCCTTAATTCTAACTTCTAATAAAATATTAATATTTAAATGATCAATTATTAATATTTAAAATAAATTATAAATTATTTCTATTTGAAAATAAAATAAATAAACATAATAACAGTTAAATTATATATAAAATATTAATAATTAAATTATCAATTATTAATATTTTAAATAAAGTATTAATTATTAATATTTAAAAATAAAATAAAAATTTAATCCTAATAATATTTAAATTAAATAAAATATTAATATTTAAAAAATTAATGATTAATATTTCAATTAAATTATAGATTATTAATATTTAAAAATCGAATAAAAAATAATCATATATATAATAAAATGTTTTTTTAACTTTTTATTTTCTATTCATTTCTTATTCCAAAGTTATTATTATCAATCAAACACTATAATAAATCATAATAATTATTCTTATTCTATTTCATTCATTCTACTAAATTATCTAATAACTATTTTATTCTCATATAATAATTATTTTTATTTTATTTTTATCTATTCTGTCAACCAAAGTAACTTAAAAATGTAAATCTACCTGCAAAATTAGATAAGAACGTAGACGTCATGCAGCTCTCACCTGCTTCACGCTCCGCGCTAATTCTACCTTTTATCATAATGTGAAGTTATACCTTGATGTTCCAATCTCAAATTACCAAAGCACAGGGTGCTTAGTGTGTGAAAGGTTTTGCCACATTAAGGAAGCGAGCGTGACCCAGCAACAAACAATCCCTTAAAACTAGAGGCAAATCAGCAAAAATCTCCCCATATGGTGCCCATGTTTTTGACCTTTGATTGTTCCAACTCGAGGACCACCACAAACCAAAGCTACATAAAATTTGATTAGTACACTTCAAATCACTTTCTTCTACTTATTGCCTAACGTGTACCACCACCACTCAACTCAAAACCCTTCAACTTATACTAAAGTAGACAAAACATTCTCCTCATCGTATTGGTGAGATTCATGGATGTTTGAAGGTTTTGTAACCGACCAATCAAGAAGAAGTTGTTTGGCGCCATGAGCAAATGATCACGATAGAAAATGGAAGGATTCATTAACCCAGAACGCACCATATAATCTTTATCATAAAAATAAAAGAAAAAAGCATGCATAATTAAACCCCAAACGAAAGCTTCAATCTCCAAAATGGGCTGAGAGAAGGAGGGGCCCATCTTGGGTTCACTTTGTTTTGAATTCGTTTTCTGTCGAGGGTTGGGTTAGGACCACGGGAGAATGGGGAACGATTGGATTAAGCTTTGGGGAAGCCATGAAAAGAAGAGTGAAAATGACTTCCACTGACTTCCCATCTTTAGCCAACAACTTATATTTGTTATGTTCATGATTGGTTGTCGTGTTGTGATAAGAAATCAATTTCCAGGGCATGGGAAAATGACGGGACGTTCATTGACTACTCTTTTGGGCTCTATCTTCAACTACAATACCACGCGCTTATCCTGGTGATCATCGTTGTTTTCAAATTTGGAAACGCTTCGATGGGTTACACCAGGTATAAGAAAATGAAAATGGAGAGCCTAGCTAGCATTGGTTCAGACCAATGCACAGGGTTTCAAAAAGTTATTGCTGTTCAAACACAAAAAGATTGAAGTGATCTGTCGGTTTTGATTTTCAAGTCAAAAGAAATGGAAATATTTCTTTATGTTTAAATGGAAAAAAAAAATGAAAAAGTGGATGTAAAAAATTTTCAAGTCAAAAGAAATTAAACTCATTAATTCAAAGAAATTGTTTTATGCATTTTAAGCCAATTTCTCAAAAAATAGACCCTCCACTCTCCCCTCTATCGACCTCCTTTACTGATAAATATTTTTCTTAATTCATTTAAATAATATCAAGTATTTCAGTAGAGTAATTTTTACGAAAAAGAAAAAAAAAACAACAAGTACTAACATCATGATTTAATTCATAATACCATTTAAAGTACCTATAAAACCTTTGGAACCATTAGCCTTCGCAATTTAATAGTCATGTTCAACATTTAAAACAAAAGTGGTTTATTTGTTATCATGACTAGTTGTGTTGGTGGAAACCTTGTTGTCATATTCAGATTTGGTTCTGAGGCCATTGCCAACAGGTACCAATCTGTCTTGATCTATAAGAGATTGCGATAAATCAAAATTCATCACCCAGGCAATGCGAATGAACGAAGGTTCAAACTCTTCATTGATTAGAAATAGTTGGAGAAAACTGCAACTGATAAAGAAGAAAGACACAAAGAAATGGGAGGACGACGTGAAGATCTGCCTTCAACAGCTAATAATTTGCTCTCAAAAATAATGCCATCCATCACATGGGAAGGAACAGATAAGTACAGGGCAGAGTTGCATTTAGCTTAGGATTGCTACTCATGAAATTGGTCGCCAGCTCCTTTCATTCATGTCTACCTTAGGCCAAACGTTAAAAGACTTCATGATTGCCAAAAGAAAAAAAAAATTGATGCTTAAGCAGTTTATGCCCAGCTGCAACTCACTGAGTAGCCCTGTTGTACCAGTCCAATTTTACACACAAAATGGTTATGCATTTGGAAAACATTGGTTCTCTAAAGAAATCTGAGACATCTCCTGAAAATTGTGTATTGTACACAAACTCAACAAAAAAAGATATAAGACCATCATCTGAGAAATCTGAAGCTGTCACACCATTGTCAATGCAATCGCCTTCAGAAGCCAACCAAATCAAGAATTCCCCAAAACCCAGAATTTCATCACATAATGGTGCATCGGCTCCTTTCTTCTGCTGGTTGTGGGGTCACCTGCTGGTACCTGTTTGACTCTGAAGGGTTGTATGTGAACTCAGAAGTATCCAGCCCGTACTGATTTACACCCAATGAAAAACAATATTAGAGCAACAAAATAGACAAAAGCTTGAGAGAAAAAGGATCAGACAGATGAAAACAATAACAAGAACAATAAGTGGAAATAGAAGCAAAAGGGTGCAGGGTGTGGTGCTTCCAATCTAAGCACCTAAAACAATAGGCAAGGTATGCATTATACCAGAGTACCCGACGACAGACAATAAAAATATAGTAAAATCTATGCATTTGGGCATTTACGAATCTGACTGATCAGAGTAACAGTGAGACATTCACAAAATGTTGGGCTTGGGCCATAGGAAACCAGAAAATAACTTAAGTAGCAAATATAGAGAATTGCAAAAATATTTAAAATTTTACCAAAAGAAAGAAGTATTTTAAGATTTTTTTGTTTAATATAGGGATATTCATCTAGTCAATGAAAATTTTGATTCAAGATTTCAGTATACAAGTTTATAAAATAATCCTAAATCCCTGATGTTTAGCAGATTATTAAACTTCAATATTCCAAGTCTCAAGAAAATCGAGGTACCACATAACTCAGTCTGAGCAAAACATTACCAGAGAGGACAACCATATGTCCATAGATAAAAGAGAAGAAATTGATGGAAACAGAAAGCACCTTTTCCCTCATACGAGTACTCCAAGCATCATTTCTGCTAGAGCGCTGTTCAAGGCTGCCAGCAACAGGTACACCTGTAGCTGGAACTGGTGGCCTGTTAATCAAAGGCTGTCTGATTTGTGGCCTTGGTGCAATGAACTCATCATCACTGTCATAATCAACAGGTTTATTGGCAGCCCTGACCATAAGGGCTAACAAGAAAATGAGAGCCTGCAAATTCAATTTGATTTTGCACCCAAATAAGTAGTATTAAAATGCAACAGAAATTATGGCAGCCTGGATATTATTCCAACCGAGAAACAACTGTCAGTTTTCAATTGTTTTATGCTTTATTTTGATGCACAAGCAATATCAAAGTAGAGTCACTTTAGTTCAAAGAAATAAATATCAGAATTTAATCCATTCATTTCTGATTCTCATCCAGCAGAAAACAAAGTCTTAAAAGCACATCTTCATCCTGTTCATGCATCTAAAGTATCATGCAATGAAATTTATCAACTGACTTTTATCTTAATAAATCATAACCAACGGTTTTCCCCAAATGACAGTCTCCAGAAGAATATCTAGAACTAAAACAATATTACAAGTAGTCTGCTTAATTTACTCCACATTGAAAAGAAAGGAACACACAACGTTCCCCATTAATGATAGTCAAGTTTTCAACTTCCCTTTAGTACAATTAAATTGAAATTTTTTACTTTAAGTTTTGATCCGGGCATTTTATAAGATCATATCTCTTGCAAGATCATATTTCTTTTTGTATGCTGGATATTTGCCACGGATAGATATGCAAGGCCAAATCATATACACTTAGTAAGAATAAGAAGTCCTAGACTATTCTGAGCATAGTTATGCCAAAGAATCCTGTAATATTTCCAAAAGCTAAATGAAACCACGGAGAAACAAATTGCATGTGCCCAGAATAAAAAATGTAATCTGCATGCTCTAAAAGAATAGGAATGAAAGGGGAAAATCCTTGTGTTCGAAACTAAGTTCATTCATTTAACCACTCTGGGTCTACCAGATTGTTGCTCAGTTTTCTGCATGCAAATGAACTTGATTGTGCATGCATGTGAAGTTATCTTATGTCCTCGGGGTTAGCTGCACTGTCACATTACACTTACCTCTAAGATAACAACACCAAGAGCAGCCCATTTGACAATACTCCAGTGTTCTTCCAGAAATTTATATATCTTATCAAAATCTCCCGTTTTGTCCGTAGGAAGTTCCTGAAGAAATTAGCACTAATTAGATAACCAAGCACACCACCTTCAATTGAATCAGGGGAGGAAAGGACAGAAAAATTAACTCAAAGCTTACATCTTTCCAGCTTTTATCGAAGAATATGAAAGCTGCACATCCCAGCTCCACCAAGATCAACAACATCACCAACACTGAATACTATGTTGCCTTAAGGAAACCAATCATCATGAAAGAGAAGAAAAGGGAGCAGGAAGTTTACACAAATAAGCTATTTATGAACCAATAAATTATAATGTTATTATGATGCTGCAAGGTATTTGTGTGACATCATCATTGCCACTTTGAAAAATATCAAACGAGTAATTAGGATACACAAGTCAAGCAGCATAAGTTCCGTGTTGCAGCTCCTATACAACCAAAACAAGAGATAACAAAGAGAACCACACCTACCCCAATAAATAAGTATATAAACCTGCAAATTTTGAAATTCAACAGTTAAAACACAAGAGAACATGCACATAATTCCACTCATATAAACACTTGAATTCCTATCAAAATTCATATATAAAGAAACAAGTAAAGAAAAACATCTAAGAATCAGCATAAGATCCTTCAACAATAAACTTGACCATGAAAAGACAAATGGTTGACATGCCATGAACTAGAAAGCAGAAAATACGTGGTAAGAGGCAACACACAAATTACAGGTGCTCAAGCTTGGCTTAGCTCTAGGCCAAAAGAAAAAAAAAAAGCTCAGCTTAGCTGGCCTTGAACTTTAATCAATATCAACCCAGTCTCCACCCTAACTCATCAAAGTATGCCGGAGCTTTTTCTTGAACAAATTATACAAAACACAGATGAAAAGAACAGTTAGCATTGCCATCTCACTGCATTCAAACAGCCCTAGCTATCAGCTATTCTGTTGGAAATGTCAAAGTTAGCACGCCTACAAGGAAACACCAAATCAAATTCCAAATACTAATTGACTCCCATTTGTTAAATACCAGAGTACAACATGCAAAACAAAACCACCAGTGAGCATTAGGGGGGTCTTGGAAGCAAATTCAATCCAGCTAGTATGACAAGGGCAGTGAGTCAAAGTTGCATTACTTATAAAAATTTTGCTAGAGAGAAAGAATTTTACAAAATCTACCCAGCCACCTTTGGAATTCAACTGATGCAAGCATGGCTAAACTAATAAAGAAAAAAGAACCACCATATCAAATTATACGCAAATGTTGAGAACCCATACCATGCTTTTGGCAGATTATCGAAAATACTAGACGAAAGAGACACAGCCAAGAACATGGGTCGACCGAGCTGTATCAAATCTTGATCACTGCCCACAGGTGACAAATGCATCGCAGTATTGGATGCTTTTTCGTACTCAACAAACAAGTAAATCCCATACCCAACCATTGCCAAACCAACAAGAGTCATCAACAAGTTCAAGAGCTTCAACAAGCACTCTAAGCACCCTCTACAAGCCATCCTCAATAATGATCTTTGTTGATCCTTTCTATTACAATTTTAATAAGTATCTCCTATTTCATCAACTTTGTAAACTACCTTCAAAAAAAAACAGAGAGAGAGAGAGAAAGAAAACCCACATTTACACTTTACATCAATAAACGAACCAAAATTTTTTGTGAATCATGGAAATGGGTATCTGAGGAAAAAAAGTAATAAAACTATTACAAATTCTTTACAACATTTTTAGAATTTTTTTTTCTGATAACTGAAAAAAAAAGGCAGGAGAAAGGTAGCTTCTTTCATTGAAAAAAAAAAGGGTTAAGTTGTTTTAAGATTTTAAATTTCTCGAAACCTAATGAAATGTAGAGATTTGTTTAAGTTTTAGTTTTAAAAAGGAAAGAAACAAAAATTCCAGGTTTCCCCTGAGTATTCTGAATACCCAAAATTTGGGTTTCCCTGAATACTTGGTACCATCAAATCCCAAATAATTGCTTTAGAGAAAAATCTTCTTTATGCAATGTAAACGGAAATAAAAAAAACTAAATTATCTAATTAACTTCACAAGTAAAATCAAAACCAATACATAGCTCTTTTCAAAATTAAAAAAAAAAAATCCATAGCTTAAAAAATAAAAGAAGTTTCTCTAGCTTCGATCGCACCAAAAATAAATAAATTGAATCAAGAACTTACAGTTTTCAAGTGAGATATCCGAACGGGCGCCTGATTCTAAGTAATAATAAGAAGTAGTAATTCTGTTTCTTGAAATGATTTTGTGAAAACAGAGAAGAAGAGATGGATTCAAAGGTTGGGCAAAATAAAGAGAGCATTTCTCATATTTACTATTTCCTGTCATGACAAGCTGGCATCTTGATTTGTCCACTCCTTTTTCTGCTTTTTGTTTTGGCCTAATGAAAATGCCATTAATTATGGCATTATCGCCCCTTTCGGTTTAACAACTCTGGGGGTATAAGAGCCATTTCGCGTACACGAAACCGAACGAGGGTGTAGTGCCCATATTAACTCATTAAGTCATTTCTTCTTTTATGAGTTGAATTTTGTTGAAATAAAGTTTAGATTATGTTTCTCTTTGTCTAGGATTCGTTTCTAATTGATAAAAGGCGTCTATGCCTTAAGCAATGCTCTTGGTGACATTATTAACCCGCTTTTAAAGTGTGAACCTGAATTTAGAAGCTTGTGTAAGTTTTCTTTTCCAACATTAATACCTGCCATAATTTATAAGTGATCTAATTAGAGTTTAATTATAGGTAGATGATGATGACTTATATCAAAATAAATATTATATTCACCATCATTTTGCTGATGTCAATTAAGATTGGGCATTAATCAATTCAAATTAAACTAATCCATCTTAACAGTTTGATTTCGATTAATTCATGTTAATTTTTTAAATTGTGACATTAATTGATTTAGAGGACTTGTTTATTTATTTTTTTTATTTATTTTGTTATTTAAAATTTATAACTAGATCGATTTGAAACTAGACCATCGATATGTTTTGAAAATAAATTATACATATTTTAAAGTATACCTAAAAAATCCTCCATTCAAATGGAAACAAATTAATTTCAATTATTTTGATTTTTTATTATAATTCGATTGGTTTCGATTAATTTTTATAAAAGTATAATTAATTTTATTTTTGAAATTTTAAAATTACACTCACTTAACATTTTAAATTTGAAGTTGGACTTTGGATTTTTCTCTTTTTTTAATTATTTTTCCTAACTAATCTCGAAGTATTTATTTGTTCATCAACCGTTCACGCTGCGACCATTATTTTTTTTTTCAAGTACTGTCTCCTTTTATTACGCGATGATCATTTTTTTAAATGATAAATGATGAAACAAGGGACACGTTGGGGTCAGTTCCAATGAACGACTATGATTTAAGAAACAAGACTATGGGCGGTGAGAAAAAGTGGTAATGGTGGGTCCAATATCAAATTTTGTAAATGCAATCCAATAGCACATTTTTAGACTATTGCAAAAGGCAGTACCTATTCAATAATAATTAATAAAAAAAGGTACTTTGTAAATTTCACTTGGGTGTCTTCATTTTTTCCATTTTAGTTCACTATATTTGACACGTGTTAAAACACATTGTCTAGATGTTATTGTCGGTGAGTAAAAGTTATACTTCTTAGTACCGAAAAAAAAAATAGTAATATTTATTTTCTATATCTTTTTCTTTAATTATGAATAATTCAAATTATCGACAAATATGTAATTCCTTTTTTTTCTCTGTGTAATAATTTTAAATTAAAAATATTAAGAAAATCTCAAAGTATAAGAAAGTGGAACAATTATTAAATAATAGTACCATATATGCGCAAAATGACGAATATAATAAGATGAAGAAAATGGAATGAATTAAATAATATTATCTTATTCTATGTCTAGTATATGCAAAAATTGCAAGTAAGATAAGATTATTTTTATGTTATATGAGGTTGGATGTGTGTAAAATTAAGAATAGGATAAAATAATCTATAATATATTAATTAATTATTATATGTCTAAATAATATTTGGTGAAGGTCCTGGGGCACATGCGAGAGAGGAGACGGCGGAAATTAAAAGCCACGTAGGTTGAAAAACTAGGGGCGGGTGGCAAAAAATGGCGGGAGAATATGCTTGGAGGGACCGTAACGGTCATTCAAGACACCAACTAACGGTCAAGATGGTGAGATGGTTGAAGCCTAAATAAATACTATGGAAATTCAAAACCCCACCTAAGCATGATGGTTCCATTTATTACACGACAACATAGCTTGTTATCCTTTCTCACTTTATTCTTCCATTTTTTTTCCCTTAATATATTTGTTGGGATGGATCGTGGACCTACAATTACAATAATTCATCAATTTTCTTTCAATTGTTTTCTAAATTTAAATGAGAAACAAAATCCCTAATGAAAGTTAAATTTCCATTACTTTTTTTTAAGTGAGAGGAAACTTAAGTCTTTATGTATAGATTCTATTTTTTGTTAAATGTTATAAAAAAATATATAAATATGTGTATATATGAAAAACATTATAAAGTTATTATTTTTTTATCTAAAAATTAACTTAATAAAATATATAATATTCACATTTATAAATTTTTTAAAATTCTTTTTATTTATCTAATATGAGATTGAAATATTTTATTTGTTTCTTCTAAAATACTTGACTAGCCATTCCCTCTTACCTAAACTGAATACACTAATGGCCACCTTGTTTATTAAAATACTTAATGTTTATCGGGTCTAGATTGACTTTAATATCATTTTATCACAACTTTTACTATTTCTTTAAAAGATTTATTAGATAGAGTATTCAGTGTCTACGTTTATAAATCTTTTTGAATCCTCTTATATACTTAGATATAAAATTAAAATAACCTTTTTATGGTTTTCTTTTTTTAAAATATTTGACATTATATATATATATATATATATGAGGCAAAAAGTTGGGGAGAAAGAGTGAACTAGGCCAGTTAGGTCTTTTTTTGGTTTAGGCATTCTCCACTGGATGCCCTTTCCTTTTCCTTAAAAAATAAAGTAAGAACCTATTTGACTTATTTTTTTTAATTTAAAAGTTATTATAAAATTTTTATAAAAAATAATAATTTTTAGAATTAAACTGAAGTTGTTTGGTAAATTTTTTTTATAAGTTATAATTTTGGTTAAAATTATTGTACAAAGTTTTTTTAAAAAAAGTTATATTGTAATTATTTTTAATAGATAGAGATATTTTTGAAATAAAAATAAAATTTTTTTTGTATTTTTTTAAAAAAAGCTCCTCATAGGAGCTTTTCCTCAAACTTTTTTTTTTTAAAATTATTTTTTAAGAGTTTTTTAAAATTTATGTTTGACTTAGTTTTTACTTTTAAGAGATAGATAAATTGAAAAAAAATTTAAGCTAAATAAACTCTAAGTAAGAAAAAAAAAACTCCATCAAAATATTACCAAAAAACTGAGAATGCGAAAATAGGGTGTATAAAATTGAAAATTGTATTGCTTGGAGACTGGGCTCGGAAATGGGTAAAGCTGGGATTGCGCCCACCATCTCCATTTTAAGTATCATGTAAGCCCATTGCTATTATTAGTTAAACCGAAAGCCTAATGCCAACAACGATTGCATCATTGTTTTTTTGGTTGAAATGAATTCATAAAAACCATATCAGATCTCCAGGAATGAACTGAACCAGTTGCAGCTTTGCACTGTCAGAGAGAGAAATTGATGTCAATGTCATGGGTTGAAATTGCACCGGCAGACACACTGAAGAACAAAGACCAAAATCGAGAGAGGTAAGCATCTATGAACAATTTATGAATAGATTGAAAATTTTGAGGTTTCAAGTGGAATTGAGGAATTCCAGTTTTCATTTTTTGTTTCTTAAGGACAATTGTCACAAATTACCCTTAGGAAACAAGATAAAGCATGAGGTTTTATGCATAAACTAATCAAAGACTGAATACTATCACTAAATGCACCCACCTTATTTTAGAATGATCATTCCCCCAATATATATATATATATATTTTTTTGTTTCACGACCCTTTTGTTAGTCCTTCTCAATGGTCCGATGCATGGCTTGCAATATATGTAAATTAAAAAAGACTTTTTCAACTTAAAATGTTAGGACCCTTCATTCTGAAATTAAGATAGGATAAATTTATCTATAACTCTTCTGGTTTTAATTTTTTTTTCACGTGATATCTCTTACATCCTCAAATTAAGATTAGGTTAATTTTACCAAAACTTTTTATTGTTTTAATTCTTTCATATGCTATCTTATAATTTCTTTTTTTTAATTAATCTTATGTAAATAAAATTTATTCTCGTTAAAATTAAATCGTTAATTCACCAAATAAAATTATCAACATATTTTTTTATTTAAAAATTAACTTATTTATTCACATATAAATACTAAAATAATTTTATTAAACAAAATTAATGATTATTAATTAATGATAATCAAAATTATTTGTCCATTTCAAGTTCGAACATCCAAAGGCCATGAGCCAAATATCCAATAAGGTCATATCCACTACTGTCTAAGAGATAAAAATCATGTCAGCATCCAATTAAGCTCTCGTGTCAAACTTTATTCACAAAGATGAAAGATCAGCCAGATCACCCTACTTCAACTTTCCATATTACATTACACAGCATTTCCCAGTAGGCCCCACCAGGGCAAAAAATTAAAATGACCGCCTGAACCATAAAATAACCAAAAGGGTCCCCGACAACAACAACTGTTCATGTCATGTCTCGTGTTAGAAAACTATATACAACCACATATCTCAAATGGGGTGGAAATCGCATCTACGTGGCCGTTCCTAATCCGTCCGTTTTGTCTACCTAGAAAGCGACCGTATTCGATCTCTTCACTGTGCCCCTACATTGGATCAGATTTTTGACCTTTTTTTCTTCTCTGTGTCGTCGTGTGCATGATGTCAGCAACGTATAACCCTTGAATCACGCTCTCCAAAGGCGCGTACCGTCAAATGTTTATTATTTTCTTCTGGGTTGGTGGCTTGATTTGGGAAGTGCAGCTAATGTGGGGCTGTCCGAGCGTGTGACTCAAAAATCTGGAAAACTCTGGATGCATGAAGGTGGGCCCTGTTGATCTAGTACCACGTCATCAGGGATTAGAGCCATTGATGTGAGGAGGGACGGCGGAGATGCCTTGTCTAGAGAGCTCAGCTAGCACACCTTCAGTAGAAGGAGGCTTGAGGCCTAAGGGTAATGGTAACCATGGCTTGTTTATTGCTTCTTTCACTACCTTGTCAATCACCTCCTCTGCCTGCATTAAAACAAGACAAATCGTTAGGGTTAATCACAGCGATAATGATCATTTTCTCGCTCTGTCATTCAC